ATAATATATGGATATATAACTATATACAGAACGAAAATGACTCTCCATACTGTGTGGACATGATAGAAAAGTGGAGTAATTTAAATTCATTCAAATAAATGTGCTTTCCAACAAAACAAATGCTGGTACTGTAGCTATTTTCTAAGTTCACTTCAGCAATAAAGATGCTTTGCTTAAGAATGCATTAAAGGGGGATCTTAAAGCACAATCCTCTTTAAACTCCGGATACTCATGGCCTAAGGCACATTGCCATTAAAACTTGACAATTAACAGTACAATTAACAAAGAATTACAGGTGAAGAAGCTCAAACACCTTGTGTACTAAGGTATGAAAGATTCCAAAAAGACAAACAAATTGATCTGATTCACTGGAGCTCAGGGTCCCATGCATACAGAAATTGCACCGTTTTTCACAATACTGTGAAGGGTTGCACATAACCCTGACCTCACACCCTGGCAGACTGAATTAAATTAAACTTTCTGAACATTATCATGGTATAAGAATTTGTTACTTCTGTTGGTTAGTACTTCCAAAAAGAATGCCGCTAAGTTAGTTTGTTGATGGCACCTTGCGTTTGGGTAAATTAAAAAAATTGCAAAGTGGCCATCTGCATTAACACACATTAACATGTGTGGTGTAAATACGAAGTCTTTTATGATAGTCATACTGAACTCAGTGGTGTAACTAAACTCCTGGTAAGTCTAGTAATCCAAAGATCTACTGTATCTGACATGTGTGATTTAATTATGTAAGTAAAAATGGAAGAAATAAAGCCTGAGTAAAACTTCCACCTGCAACTCACAAACTCTAAATCTTGCACCTAATGATATTATACCTTCAAATGTCTCAAAAAAGAAACATAAATTGGTGATCATTTTAAGGGTTAGGATTGTTTTAGAACTGCAAGATATAACTGTGTGGAATACCAATGACTTAGCACAATCTGAACAGAAGCTATCTGATACATCTCTGTCCTGAATAATACTACCCTGTTAATATTTACCCTGGAATATAGATCACCTGGAATTCCATGAGAAGCTGGCAAACCGCATAATAAAAGTTAATTTATAACTGATCTTGTGTATGTAGGCATCTATCGTACTCAATATTTGATCAGGCTTTTCCACAATGCCTAGTTTCACAATGTGACATTTTATTTTATAAGCATAAAGTTTAAGATATAAAAATGTCAATAGAATGGACTGATAAAAATGAAAAGTGACAGGCTCTTTATTTGTTGCATGCTTTATGTTCAATCAGTTGTATGCAACTTCATATGAGTGTCACAACAACTAGCCTAAGCACAAACCGCTGCTAATCAGATGGCAAACACGTTATGCAACCTATGGTACATATGAAACAGGTAAGGGTTATTCATTTGGAGTAGTACCAATTGATATTACTAATACTGTACCAATTGATTTAATTGATCAATTGATCCAAGAATCTAATTGATCCAAGAATCTCATCCAGAGTATTGGCTTCAAAACCATGACTGGGTAACTTGTTCCATACAACCATAACCATTTGCGTAGAAAAGTACCTCCTGTTCTCAGTTTTAAATGCACTTCCATGTAGTTATCATTTGTGCCCCCTGGTTCGTGTTTCATTATTCATTCTAAAGTCCACTGCGTTTATTTGGCAATGCATCCTAGTTTGCTAACTATACCAGAATCTAGAGCAAGTTAAAAGTATAACATAGAAAGGGCAGTGGTCCTAGCACACATTCCTGTGGTACTCCACTAAATACATCACCCAAAACTGTGCATTTACTCTTTATCTGCACTTTTTGTTTACAGCCCTTAGACACCCGTAGAAAGAGTATGAATTAGATTGTAATATTACAAAACACAGAGTTCAGTGCACGTCATAAGTATTGACGTATTAAAAAAGTTGAATTCTTAGTAAAAGTAGGGTGAATCTTAATTCATACAGGCTACTCCAGAGGGTCTACATTGTATCCATTCCTGGAATGCAAAACTATCCAATTGTGGCAATCCAGATTCTGAGTCATCTAAAAACAATTAATATCCACTTTTAAAACACTGAAGACAACACAAGTTTCCCTAGAAAAAGGTACTTGATTGTCTAAACTGTGCATCCATGTACAGCTGAACAAGCCACCGAATGAGAGATGAGGCTTCAGCAACATGACTGTTACTCTAGGAAACACTATCTGTTCATCTTACTCAACTCTGTACGTGCAGGGACAAGCAAAGGACAGCAAATTCT